ATCACTATCCATCGTGGAGTAAGCGTAGATAGTTTCTAAAGCCGCAGTAAGAAATATAGCCACGGAAAATAGCCGAAATGTTCACACATTTGAGATGCGAGGGGAGGCGACATCGGTCACAACAGTGGAGCGAAAACAATGGGCCGACGGCGTGTGCCGAGCCGCCTGCGGGCCACAAGGCACAACAAAGAAAATGGGAAGACATCGGTGCGTATTTTAAAACCAGTCCCCAAAAAATTGGATAAAAACCTGATTTTTGGCGATTATTTAAAGTGGATGACGCAATGCTGCATCATGCCCGGGCGAAAGTGTTAAGGTGGCGTTTGTGGGGCGTATACTCACGACGCACCCCTGGGTGGACCCCGGCAAGATCGGTGATAGCTTCTTGTTGGGTGTCCTGCTTCTAATTGTGGCTGCATGGTGGGTGTAGAGGCACATTCATGAATGAAAGTTTTTCCTCGTTTTCATGGCAGATAATGTTTCCCTTGTACCTTCTCAGGGTCGTGGGGTGGGGGACCAAGCCCCCGAGTCAGACTGTATTGGAAGACCAGGCCCTGTAGCCCCCGCTGCATTGGGCCCCGACCTGACTACTCCCCTCATCTCCCCCTCCCTCCTCTGCAGTAGGGTCAAGTTCCCAGCCCCCAGTGGTGACCACCTCGTCCCCTGGCACGGCTCTGTCTCTCATTGTGACTACTGTGCCATTTACCCCTCTCTCTCTCTCTGGGGGTTTCTCAACGCCATCCCTGCCACGGCCGCACTCGCAAGATCCCTTCCCGTAATAGTACTTACAATGCTTTGTTTGGTCCCGCTACGTGGGCTAAGTACTTTGATCTCCACCATCTGGATTCTACTCCTCCTGACGATTTCTCCCTCCATAAACACCTTGTTGACTCAGTAGATGCCTCTGTTACTTTTAACTCCACCAGTTACAGTACGCGTGTCGTTGCTGCTGCTCCTTAGGATGCAGCTACTCGCTTTGCTGCTTTGTCCTGCATTGAACAAAAACACTCGGTTAAATGCCAATGTTGGCACTGTTCTCCTCCCACACCATGTTGCAACTGGTGTTAGGGACCTCAAAGATTGCCATGAGGATATTAAACATATCCTCGAAGCCCAAGACCATTCTGTCCTCCAGATGGACACATTTACTCGACCCCCTCGTGGTCGTTGCCGTCAGCCCCTTCGAGTTGTAAAAATCACCTTTGATAGTAGGGCCCTTCCGCCCTCTATTATTCTTGCTGGTGCCAGATGCTCCGTTCAGGAGTACATTCCCTCTCCTAGACTTTGCATTAAGTGTTGGAAGTTCGGGCACGGTGTCCTCAAATGCACCAGTACTGTGTATCTATGCCCCATGTGTGGGGACAATAGTCATTCTAAGTCCGTGTGCACTTCTCCTCAGGCTCGCTGCTACAATTGCGGTGAAGCCCACCCTACCTTATCACGCTCGTGTATGCACTACAAACTCGAGGAAGCCGTCCTCAACTTGAAGCACCGTGATCGTCTGACTTTTCCTGAAGCGAGACGCCAAGTTCGTCACCCCTTTCGCGGGTGCATCCTACGCTCGCGTGTTGCATTCTACCTCTCCTCGTCCTTCCCGTCTTCCTCAGTCTCACAACCATTTCCAGGCCTTAAACCCGACCACACCCACCACCTCCTACCCTTTTCCTTTGCCTCCTGTCCCGGAAGGTCTCCCTCCTGGTACTCCATCTGAGGTTTACCCCTTCCTACCCAGTCCACCATATCTCCTTTGTCTTCTTCCCCATCTCCCTCCACTCTTTCTTCCCGACCCTTCCCCCAGTCTCTTGACCCTCCACGCCACCTATCTGTCCAGGCTGATATCCATCGTCCTCCCAGCAATCTTCGTGTTGTTCGCTCCTGTTCCTCTTCTTCTGCTGAGACCATTGAGTCTGTTGCCCAGTACGTTGTTACTGGAACGCCTGTCTCTTCGAGTCAAAAACGTAAGCCTGGCTCCTCTCCTTCTTCCTCTCCAGCAGGTAAGAAGGTTTCGCTTTCTTCCTCGCCCCCTCCCTCTGACTCTGTCACTACATCCCCTCCTATTTCAGTGGTCGGACCCCCTGTCCCAGATATGGAGGTTTCTTTCGCCCCCAATTCTCTCTCGGTTGCTGCTCTTGCTGAGGTGCACTCCCTGATTTCTGACCCCCCTCCTCTTCCAGCTGTCCTTGCCTGCCCCTCTCAATTGTCTCCTCCTCCTCCTCCTCCGGACCCTCTCAGTCCGCCTCTGGTCTGTTCTCTCCCTCCCTTCCCTCTCTCCTTACTAAGTTTACCCATGCCCCCTAACCCTGATTTTGCTGACCCTGCTCCTGATCCTGATCCTGAGAATCTTTAATAAATTGTGTTCTTCTATACCTTTATTTCTTTCTTGTTCTGTTACTGTCCTTTCTCTTTGATAATGTCTATTCTTCAGTGGAATATTCGTGGGTTTTATGCCAACTTCCATGAACTCCAACTTCTAATTATACAGTTTACACCACTTTGTGTTTGTCTCCAGGAACCAATGCTTGGTGCTCGTCCTGGTCACTTTCGTGGTTATTCCTTTCTTTCTCCCCCCCCCCCAAGCTCTTGCTGGGGCTCATAACTCTACTGCTTTCTTAATTCGTTCTGATGTTCCATTCGTCTCCCTACTTCTTCCGTCCCCTATCCATTGTTCTGCTGCCTGTGTTATTGTGGGTAAATGGTATACAGTTTGTTCCATTTATCTCCCCTCAAATGTCCCGCTTTCCCTTCCTGATCTTAAGCACCTCCTGGACTCCTTGCCAGAGCCGGTGCTCCTTTTGGGTGATTTCAACTGTCGACATTCTCTCTGGGGTGATGTTCTGACAAACACCCGAGGCCGTCTTCTCGAACCATTTGTCCTCGCTTCTTCTCTCTCTCTTCTGAATTCTGGTGAGCCCACTCATGTGGACTCTCAAACTCGCACCCTTTCCTGTCTTGATCTTTGTCTGCTCGTTGTCCCTTTACTTAGATTTCACGTGGCGGGTTCTTGATGACCTCCGTAAGTGATCATTTCCCCATCCTCGTTTCCTTTTTCTCTTTCCGCCCTCCCCTCTCCTTCCCTAGGTGGCTGTTTGCCAAGGCTGACTGAAGCCTAGTCACCCTCCGTGCTACACACTCTCTGACCTCTCCTCTCTGCCTCTTCCTCGCGCCCTCATTCTTTTTTATGACACTGTCTTCAATGCTACCCTCCACTCTATTCCTCGCTCCTCCTCCCGGGGCACACGGAAATGCATTCCCTGGTGGAATACAGACTGTGCTCGGGCTGTCCGCTGTAAGCGTGCAGCCTGGAAGAAACAATGCCGCCGGCAGACGGCTGATTCTTTTATTTTGTTTCGGAAGGCGAGTGCGGTGGCCCGTAGGACCATCCGTACAGCTAAACGTGAGAGTTGGAAATCTTATGTTTCCACCATTACGTCCGATACTCCTCAACCGCAGATCTGGAAGAAGATCCGCACGATTGCGGGCAAGTTCGTTCCAGATGTCCCGCCGATTCTCCACCTCTATGGTACTCTTGTGGTGGATCCAGTGAAGGTCGCGACCTTCACTGGGTTCCCACTTTTCTATTGTTAGCTCTGGTTCTCATCTTCCTCAATCCTTCCTTCTTCATAAGATTCAAGAAGATTCTTCTTGAATCTTATCCTTTAGATTTCCACACTCGTCTCCGCCTTCCCTATAGCGATTCTTTTTCTCATTCTGAACTTCAGTCTGCCCTGGCCTTCTTTGGATCTAAGGCGGCGGGCTCGGATGACGTTCATTATGAGATGCTTCGCCATCTCCCTCTGTGCACGTCTCAGTATTTACTGAGTCTGTATAACCAGGTCTGGGAGTCATCGTCCATCCCTGAGGACTGGCTCGATGCCGTTGTACTCCCTATTCGGAAACCAGGATCTCTCGGTACGTCCCCTAAGGACTTCCGCCCTATTGCTCTCACGAGTTGTGTTTGCAAGCTGTTTGAGCGTATGGTAAATGTCCGTCTGATGTGGTTCTTAGAACAATATCACCACCTCTCTCCTTCTCAATTTGGTTTTCGCAAGTGCCGCAGCACGACTGATGTCCTGGTGAACTTGGAGGTCTATATTTGTACTGCTTTTGCTGCGAAGATCTCCGTTGTTGCTGTCCTTTTTGACCTGGAAAAGGCTTATAACACGACCTGGAGATACCATATTCTGTCCCAACTTTGTTCTTTTGGCCTTCGTGGTAATCTCCCTCTCTTCCTTCAAAGCTTTCTTTCTCGTCGTACCTTTCGCGTCAGGCTTGTACCGCTCTCTCTGCCTCTTTTCGGCAGTATGAAGGTGTGCCTCAAGGTAGTGTTCTTAGTACTACTCTTTTTCTGGTTGCCCTCAATTGTCTTCTTTCCTCCCTTCCTTCTAGCATCTTCTCCGCTCTTTATGTTGACGATCTTACTCTTTGCTGTCGGGGTGAAGATTCGCCTCTCCTTCAACGGCGGCTTCAACTTGCGATTGATGCCGTGTCATCTTGGGCCATCAATCATGGCTTCAAGTTCTCTACTACTAAGACTTGTGCCATGACTTTTACTTGAAAGCGGGTCGTTCTTCGTCCCTCTTTGTCACTTTATGGTCATCCCCTTGAGTACAAAGATTCAACGAAGCTTTTGGGGTTATTCTTTGACACTCGTTTGTCTTGGTCACCCCATGTCTCTTACCTCCATGTTGAATGCTCTAAGGCCCTTAACCTACTTAAGGTTTTGGCATCCTTGGTGATATTTAACGCTCTCTGATTATCCTGCACATTTGGTGGTGCTACATAGCTTAACCAGTTTGGTGCCTTCTATTGATAATTACTTACTTCAGGGAGCTTCCAGTGCTCACCCAGACACTGGCGTTTCATTACATACAATGCTGGTTTTGACGTAAATACTCACTCACATGAAGTAGATACTATACTAAAGGAAGTTTTATTGTGAGCTTATATGGCTTTTGTTTGTTCTGTAGATATTGCTAGTCAATACTATGTATTTTCAACAGGCTGTGGAAGCATTTGGGTATACGTCTGAAGGTATACTGATGAAGCATGGCAAGGGCATCATTGGCCAGCAGTTCCTTCTCAACCGACTGGCTAACTGTTCCATAGACCTGTATGCCAGCCTTGTAGTTCTCTCCCGGGCAACTCGTGCTCTCAACCTGAATCTGCCATCTGCAGACCATGAGGAAAGGATTGCAAGAGTTTGGGTGAATGAGGTTCGTATTAATGAGGATTATTTGTGGAATGGTTATTTTTAAATATTTTTACCTTGAAGCAATTGAACCAGTACAATATTTATTGACATTAATAAAAATAAAAATTAAATTCTGGTATCATTTATGTAATTTATGTTTACATTATTTTCCTTTGCTAAATTTTTATAGTTTAAAATTATTTTTTGTTATACTGAGTGTGCCATTAGCACAGTATTGGTCACCACATTTATTTAATATTATTATGAGTATTATGCATTTTGTTTAAATTGTATTGATATCATAAGCATTGATGTTGACATTTCTAAGTTAACTTTTATGTCTCCCAGCTGTGGCAAGTTAGGTTTTACCTCCCAGCTCTGGGAGGTAATATTTAAGGTAGTGTTATATTAGAAGAAGTGTGTTGCAGATTAACTGTTTGAGTACAAAATATTATGTTTGCAGGCTTCGGATCGTATCCAGCTGAATTTGACGGCTGTAAAGTCAAGCGTGTCTCTGAAGAACTTCAGTGATCTAGAAGCCATTGCCAAGGATCTCTTCTCCAATGGAGATATTATTGCTACTGGTCCTTTGGGAATGTAAAAATTTTGAAACCAATGTATTATTTATGTACAGTTTAGAAATTTTATAAATACTATTGATAATAAATTTGTAACCCCCAACTAGTGCAAGTTTAACCCCTAGGCAGTACAGCTATTAATAGCCGACATCACCGCTGTGCGCAAAAAAAAAATTAACAAATTAAGATTCTTAAAATGTGTTAAAATTACTTCTAAGATTTTAAAATGTGGTCCCCTGATTACAGGAAAAAAAAAATCGTAGGTGACATATTTTGGGTGTGATTGGGGTAGGAAGTCTGGCAAGATACAGGCGCTGAAAGAGTACACATCCGGGGCCGGTCTCCTCCAGCTGAGCCATCAGCCTGGAGTTGCCACTAAGATATTATTACCTAATTATTACAATGTCTCAGATTGATTTTGTTTCTCTTGAGTTTTTGCAGTAATATTATTTATTATTCAATAGTGTGTAGTGTGATATATTATAATGTGTGAACCATCTCTATACTCAAAAGTATGGTGTGCATATTAGTGGTTCAATTATTATATTCATAAAATAATATTTTTGCTTTTATTACACTGTATACACACGCATTATATATAAGTATCTACATGTTTTGTTTACCATAACTATACCATTAGTTGGTATGGTGAGTCCAGACAATAATAGTGGCTGTTACACGCAGTCAGCTCTTGACACTATCTCTCTGCCAAGATTCATCCTCCCACCATACTGTTTTTGCTTTTATTACACTACATACACATATTATACATAGGTATCTACTCGTTTTGTTCACCATAACTGTACCACTAAGCTGGTATGGTGACCAAACAGCATAGTGGCCACCATGCACTGTATGGCAGGTTGCACACCAGCCAGCTGGTGACACCACCTCACTCACCAAAATGGCTCCTCCCAGCATACTATTTTTGCTGTTATTATACTATATACTGTATACACACAATATAAGTATCTACATTTTTGTTTACTATAATGAAACACTAAGCTGGTACGGTGAGTCTAAACAATAATAGCGGCCGCCACACACCAGCCAGCTGAAGATGCCACCTCACTGCCAAAATTCCTCCTAGCATACTACGCACATGATAATTACATTCAAATCATATTATAAGATCACAGTACAAAAACCACTGAGGAAAATGTTATCGCATGTGTTCTGGGTTTAATCAGAGGGGCACATTTCAGTTGACAAAACAAGACTAGAAAATGTTTCTTATAAAATAAAGGTATTAGTGGCTGGTAAGCACTGATGGAAAGGTGGTGTGTGCAAAAACTGTTGGAAAATGTGCAAATTTAGTAAATCTATAGACATGTCTCCGTGGTGTAGTGGTAAGACACTCGCCTGGCATTCCGCGAGCGCTATGTCATGGGTTCGTATCCTGGCCGGGGAGGATTTACTGGGCGCAATTCCTTAACTGTAGCCTCTGTTTAACGCAACAGTAAAATGTGTACTTGGATGAAAAAACGATTCTTCGCGGCAGTGGATCGTATTCCAGGGACCATAGGATTAAGGACTTGCCCGAAACGCTACGCGTACTAGTGGCTGTACAAGAATGTAACAACTCTTGTATATATCTCAAAAAAAAAAAAAAAAAAAAAAACATGGAACACCAAAGCTCATGTTCTCTCTGTATACCATAAATACATGTTACCACTTGTGACCTATCCCCATGACCTTCCTTTGGTCCTTGGAACAGTGTGTGGGAGGTATTTCTGGCTAGATTACGTATATGCAATGCTCACGATTAATTCATGGCCACCTAACCCTTTAACAGTGCAAATTGTATATATATAATTTTGGCCCAACTGGCTGAATGGCGCACATCATGTGTGTGTGTGTGTGTGTGTGCGTGTGCCAGCCACCAAGGCTGGCACACTCACAGCACTGCTGTTCAGCTTGTGACCACAGTATCGCCTAAAAATGACAAAATATAAATATAACTGCTATTATTTAGCAATGATAGTATTACAGAAAAGCCCGACTGTGATTAAAACTGTTTACAGTGTTCAGATATCAGTGAACACAATGCTGTTCAAAAAGTTCATAATGCTAGCCACAGCACATTAACATTATTTGGTCCCTCTAAGAATTTTGAAACAACTTCTCATGTTCCTTTACAAAATAAACTTGTGGGAAATTCTTTCATTTACAGAATTTAGTGACTAGGATTCTGATAATAGCAGCATTGCGCTGAGAATTAGCGATGTGAATAGTATGGTGGGAGGAGGACTCTTGGTGAGGGAGGGAGGGCAGGAGGTAGCATCGTCTGCCGACTGTGTGTGGCAGCCACTGTTATTGTCTGGACTTGCCATACTGATTGATACACTCCCGTTTGGTTCAGCCGGGGGTACATCATGATTTGTGTCTGATGATGGCTCTCCATTGCTACATTTGTGCCAGCATTTCTGTGGTGGTGGACACCGTGTGAGATGATCCCTTTTCCTTGCTTCCCTGTTCCAAGGTTCATATTTCTCAGGTAATCTGCAGTGTCATCAATCTAGCCAGACTTCAGTCTGCCCTTGTATCCATGATGTCCGTACATATGCCACTTTCTCGTCTGCTTTTGCTACAATGTCCTGGGCTGAGATACGGGCACAGGAGATTTCTGGAGGTCAAACAGGGTGTTGGTGGTTCAGTACTTGATCAGTGTTCTAGGTCCTCGGCACCCGTGTGACACTGGGTCAGCTTTCTAGGCCAAGGGTATCATCTTCACAATGATACCTGCAGTGCTACCTCCTCCCTAGAAGGTATCCATTTCTTCTACCCATCTCTGTGAGTAGATAGCTTCAGGGAGCCACAGGGGGGCTTTCCCCAGAAAACCCACCTTTAAATGTAATGAAATGCCAATTTCTGGGTGAACCCTGGTGGCTCCCTGACACCCTTCCTCCGTCAGGAAGTTGGGTTTCTGCATTATTTATCAAACAGACAGCAGTGCAGCTGGTGTCCCGTAGCCTGCCCCCTCCTTTCCCCAATGAAGGAGAGGGTAGGGCAAACAAGCAGGTGCTGGGTTATAAAAAAAATTGTCATTTGTTATATAGTTTGGGGGAGTTATAACTGTTTTTGAGTTTGTAGGTATCTGAAGCAGCCAACTGTAGTTTTTGTCATGCTGACTTTCTGGGTGCTTTCCTTGGTGGTGGTGGCATAAATTAATAACTTCATATATAAACACCACAGCTCTCTACGTCTCTGTGAGGGGACCAGGTTCTGGCGCTAGGTACCCAGTAGCTCGGAGAACTCCACGACTGATGGCACCTACATCGGAGATGGTACCTTCATGGAGTCACTGGGGCTCGCCCAGAAATTGGCATGTCATTCAGTTTAATGCTGGTTTTATGGCTTGATAATATATTTTTTATTTTTTTTATAATGTTGAAAGTTGATGAGAGTTTATAACGTTGAAAATTGCACTTGATAATTTGTCAAGCATTTTTTAAATTTTGAACAAATATACAGTGAAACTTGCATTGTGTGACAACTTGGAGATGGATGCAGACTCATATCCACAAACACATTAAGGTGGTACAGTATACACGCAAGTTTACTTACCATTTCAAGATCTTTAAATTATATCATTGGATTGATGTGGTGTTTATTGATGAGTAGGGGCATGTCCAGCATTTTCACCTGAATGATTTCTAATTTAAATACTGTATCTGCTTGTAAAATATTTAATTGTGGTAAAATAACTGTTAAATTTTCTGTATATTTTTAGAATAATATTCATGAAACAACTTTATTTCATTACCCCTATTCTGTTTACAAAACTAAATGTTGAGAAACATCATTGGTGCTCGAGAACAAGTGTTTAATGAGCGAGTATTTTGGTGTCCCTGTTAAAGATATTTCATGGGTTTGTATTTCATTAAAGTGATCATTGAGATATCTGGAGCCAACCCTTGCATATTGACATAAACTTGAGATCACTTTAGTATGATATGGGCAACAAACATTTGTATACTTACTGGGTCATGTAGCCTCATTGGTAAGAGCTTTTAGATTCCTTTACACAACAGTGGGCATGGGGACAAGTACCATGTAAGGGCATACCTTGCATGGTGTGTGTGTAGGTCATGTAGCTGCTGGAACCTGTTATGTTTACCATTGCCTCATCCACCTCTTCCCATTGGCCATTACTCATACTACTCTTGATATAAGTAGAAAGCCTGCAGTATTTATTTACAATGTTATTAGGGAGGCAAGAAGTCAAATAATTGAATTATTTCAGTTTTAACCCTTAAACTGTGCAACACATCATATGACGTGTTGAGTAATTTGCTATAAATTGCGCGTGACGTGATGGAGTACCACGCAAGATTTGAATGGCCAGCGGGGTAGAGGGGGCGCCCCATACGCTTCCCAGGGGCTATAGTAAACAGTCGCCATTTTGTAAAAAAAATCTGGCTCGCGCTACTGTTACGTCATTTGACCTCTGAGTATGGTTCCTCTGTTGCAGTTGTTAACAAATGTATAATAATACGGCCTTGCCTACTAAAAGTGTCTAGTGTAAATAACTCGACTGCTTACTCAACAAAGCAATATACTTAAAGTAAGAGTAACAAAGAACATACAAATATATAAATGGAAATAAAGGCAGCCAGAAATATAAATGCATCAGAATACAACAACACTATCATTATATAAGCACTATATTAAAACTTAAATGGATAGATGGGTATGCACATAATGGTCTAACCAGGAAATCAGCAATGTTTCTAAACAATAAACAAATACCACAGACAACTCCACAACATGTCCACGTCAGCCAGCTCCACCCACGCGACGCGACTGGCATTGCTCGAGCATGCACGGCATGGCGTCTACAAGATACCAACTAAAACCCACATGAAACCTCTAAATACTCTGCTATCAGAGAGTAATACTAAAGAACATAATTATAACTTATATGCCTATAACACTGCTAAGGTGTAAAAGAAATTAAGTACAATCAATAAACAGGAATAATTACAGGGGTGAATCAGTGATGCTAGCTAGATACACTGCACGCATACTGGAACATCCCAAATATGGTCATCCCCCCATGAGATGCCACGGTCTTCCACCACAGGAATGAACATGCAATAA